CCAGAAAACTGTCACCAACCATGACAGAATGGGTGGATCATTAGATGTGCTTGTGCTATGTTTAGTGCACTAGGACCCTGTAGGGAACACAGTGCTCTCTGCCCTCATTGGGCTGACTTAAAATAATGGACATCTTGACATGCATTCATGGCAGGCTGGGTTGCCATTAACTTGTATTGATCTGCCTCTGTCCAGGAGAACCCACCACTTTGGGGCTGACACAATCCTGTCACTGGTCTGTCTCCTTTACCTCTATACCACCAGCGATTCTCAGGACGCTAGAGTTGGGAGCTATGGAATCATGGCATTGCATTAGTCGGATCATGCTTGTTATGAATGCCTTTATAGAAGGTTGTGTGGATAAGGTGTAACATCAACAGTTGCCTACTTGTTTGTTTGCTTTGACTGCAGCATTTCTGTACAGTAGAATGTTGAGTTGTGCTTATTAGAATGTACAGTATTTGTTGGCACTGAGCTCCTGCAACCTTTAAATGTTGCTGATTGTGCTCTGTCTGTCTGCACATACACTAAACACACTGGGTCCGAGGGGCCTCAAAGAAAATAATCCCCTATTTTGTTTCTATACATACCATAGATGATTTCCTATATACTTTATTTATGTATTCTATTCATGACACTGTTCGCTTTTGCTCTCCTGCATTATACCTCCTGAATCTCAATGCTGCTCAGGACTTGGGTGCATTCCCTCACATTTGGCTTTATTATCAATCTGCTATCACTCGGTCCGTCACTAGAGGTGCTTATGGTGTAAACTCTATTTTAAACAGATGATCTCATAGAGACCATCCGATGCAGTGCATGTGCACTAGCCTCCAAATTCTTTCGTATGTGAAATCATTAACTTGACTGAAATCAATATCATCTTGATGATCTCAGCCAAGGAGTACAAAGCCTCCCCACAGAGACTGGTATGGCGAGTGCTGAAAGGTAAGTAAAACTCATCCTTCAAGCCCTCACATGACGGGGGAGACATTAATACAGTTACATTAAAACTATAGCATTGAGAATATAGTGTTCCTTTAATATGTATATATTGTTGTCAGGTAGTGAGGTGCACGCTGACAGCCAGTGTTTGATAAATTTCTTCAATATCTTTGAATGTCATTTCCTTTATGGTGGCCTAATATTTGTCAATTGTTTCATGTTTATTTTCCAGCTCTCTCACTCCTTTCTTTTGATTATGGTTCCTGTCCTTTGATGATTGATTTTTTATTTATTTGTTCATTTGTATCTAATACCAACATTGGTTGCTTTGTTTACCTTTTTCTTGACACTCCGGGGTGTGACATCTTGGTCCTACCCCCTTATTCTTCCTCTCTATTAAAGTTTGCTTATGCATTACAAAAGTATTATCCCGATTGTCCCTGCAATAATTTAAAAGGACACTATAGTCACCAAAGCAGTTTTAGCTTAATTAAGCAATTTTGGTGTCCCTGCAGTCACAATGCTCTATTCTCTGCAATTTAGTAGTTGAATCACTTTGTTTATATAGCCTTAGTCACATTGTTATGGACAAATGCAAATATTACAAGTTTTAGAATGACATGATGTATTTCTTAAACTGTGTACTTTGTCTTTAAGAGATATTGCAAATTGACAAGGTGTTAGAAATGGAACATATTGTTTTTCATAGATGTTTCTTTAAGCAATAACCTCAGTGCATAATATGTTTGCGGCATTTTGTCCCAGACAAATTACAATAACAATAATGCATAAACAAGCTTCAAGGCTATACTACGACTCTTTCAGTACACAATATACTGTTGTAACCCCAAGTTAATGGAACTTCCCCAAATCCGGGAATCTCCCACGACTGTGCACTTACGTCTTAGTATAAACAGATAAGCTATTCAGACTTTAAGATGCCATCTTGAACTAAGTCAAAAAAATTTCCATGACACATACACCCTTTAATTATGGCCTTGTATGTTTGCCAAATTAAGGGAGGTCCTAAAATGAATAAAGTGAAAGAAGTGTTACTTTTTCGTATATGAACTATGGTAACCCTAAAATGGAGACGCCTAAGGTATAAATAGGTGTACTTTTAAATGTTAAGACACAGAGGAGAGACTTGGAGACAGACGCTGCTCCATCTTAAAATGACAGAGAGGCTGACATGATGACATGTTCAGAAGGGTATGTTAACCTATTATTGATATTTGCAAGCAGGGCCGCCATCAGAAAGTTTGGGGCCCATGACAAAGCACAAGGTCTGGGCCCCCCCCCCCCTCCTCGCGGGCCCGCCCACGCCCTACCTAGTCCGCTCACAATGATGCAGGACTGAATGTGGTGTGTGTATAGTGGAAGTGAATTAGAATGTGTGTAATGGATGTAGTGTTTGTGTGTATTAGATACTGTTTGTGCAATGAATGCAGAGTGTGTGTTTGTGTAGCGGATGCAGTGTGTATAGTGAACGCAGAGTGTTTTTGAGTAGTGGATGTAGTGTGTGTACAGTGATGTAGTGTGTGTACAGTGATGTAGTGTGTGTTTGTGTAGTGGATGTAGTGTTTGTATGTACTAGATGAAATGTGTTTAGTGGATGCAGTGTCTGTAGTGTGTGTATTAGACGCAGTGTCTGTGTATAGTGAATGCAGAGTGTTTCAATTTGTGGTGGATGTAGTGTGTGTACTGTGAATACAGGATGTTTGTGTAGTGGATGCTGTGTGTACAGTTAATGCAGAGTGTATGTTAGTGTAGTGAATGCAGAGTGTGTGTCAGTATAGTGAATCCAGAGTGTGTGCATAGTTTAGTGAATGCATAGTGTATGTTAGTGTGTAGTGAATGCAGAGTGCGTCAGTGTAATGAATGTAGTGTGTGTGTTAGTGCAGTGAATGCATAGTGTGTGTAAATTTGTAGTGAATGCAGAGAGTGTGTTAGTATGTAGCGGATGCAGAGTGTATGTTAGTGTAGTGAATGCAGTGTTAATGTGTAGTGAATGCAGAGAGTGTGTTAGTGTGTAGCGGATGCAGAGTGTGTTAGTGTAGCGGATGCAGAGTGTGTGTTAGTGTAGCGGATGCAGAGTGTGTGTTAGTGTAGCGGATGCAGAGTGTGTGTTAGTGTAGCGGATGCAGTGTGTGTTGCGTTAGTGTATGCAGTGTGTTGTGTTAGTGTATGCAGTGTGTGTTGTGTTAGTGTATGCAGTGTGTGTTGTGTTAGTGTATGCAGTGTGTGTGTGTCAGTGTATGCAGTGTGTGTGTGTGTTGTTAGTGTATGCAGTGTGTGTGTTGTGTTAGTGAATGCAGTGTATGTGTGTTGTGTTAGTGTATGCAGTGTGTGTGTTGTTAGTGTATGCAGTGTGTGTGGTGTTAGTGTATGCAGTGTATGTGTGTGTTATTGTATGCAGTGTGTGTGCGTGTTATTGTATGCAGTGTGTGTGTGTTAGTGTATGCAGTGTATGTGTGTGCTATTGTATGCAGTGTGTGTGTTGTGTTAGTGTATGCAGTGTATGTGTGTGTTAGTGTATTAAATTTAATTAAATGTTTCTCCCCCCTCCCTGCTTACCTGTGTCCATGGAGGGGGGAGATTCCATCCCTGGTGGTCCGGTGGGGGGCCCCCGGCTCCTTGTTACCGCAGAGGGGGCCCAGGCAGCACAGGAGCAGCTTCTCCTCCTCTCTTCTAATAACTCTCGCGAGACCCGGTTACCATGGCAACGCTCCGCGGGTCTCGCAAGAGTTATGAGAAGAGAGAAGACAGGAGGAGAAGCTGTGTGCTGCCTGGGCCCCCTCTGCGGTAACAGGGAGCAGGGGGCCCGCGGCTGCACACATAGATCGCGATATTCGCTATCTATGTGTGCAGAAAGGTTGTCACCCCCTGATGGCGGCCCTGGTTGCATGTACCTGTTTTGTGCAATGGCTGCACAGTTATATGTTTTTATGTGTTTTATTGTCTTTTGCTACCATGTGTTCAATGGAGTTTTGCCTCTGTCCTTGGAGATAATTGGATTACTTCCCAATTATCTCCAGGATAGAAGACTCTGTGGAACTGGTTTTGGGCAGAAAAGCCATGCTTCCTTTGGTCACAAAGGACTACGATCTATCTTTTGAACCACTGGACCAATTTGGATGATTTTGACAAATGTTTGTATTTGGAGTATGCTGATTCTGAAAATGTGAATGTGATGCATACTTTTCAAGTTATGAATAATGTGGGAAAATTGTATTTCTCTGCTTGTGATAATTACATTACCCATTGTGTAAGGTAATTGTATCACAGGCAGAGGGGAGGATTTTGTGTGGGAGTGCCTGAGTGTATTGTATGTGTTTATTGGTTGTGTTCCAAAACCCTGTGGGTGGTTCTAATGTATATAAGAACAATAAACCCACAGCTCTGTCTGTTCACTGCTTGACCCTCAACACAGAGCTTTGTCTCATTCTTGGGGGTATTTATTGTATGCTGTTCCAGTTCGACTGCTAGGAGTGTAAACCTATTCGGATGGTTTTTCCTATTCGGCTGTTTACGGCATTCATATGGTTTCCTGTTCGGCGGATTGGTGTTCTGCAGTAGCTGTGCCCGTGTCTCTGGAAGGGGAAGATCTACTAAACGGCAGTTTAACCCTTTTATGCCTGGGGGTGCCATTACAATTGGTGGCAAGCGGCGGGATCGTTCCTACAGCCAGAAGGACAGCTACAGGAGACACCATTTCTTTGGATTTTACAATTTGAGGGCAACGCATGTCCCAGTACAGCGAACCTGACAGCACCAGGATGGAACCAGCTGTGGAGTACGATGAGGGTGTCATGGATGACCGAGATGCATTTCGCAAAGGCATCTGGTACCAGGCACTGGGTATTGTGGAGTACCAGCACAATCCATGCTGGGCGAGAGATTCCCCAAGGAAGACCAGCGATTGCAGAAGGGACTAGCCCTGCGGATGCCCTTCCTGGGAGAGCAGAACGGCCCCTCGTTCGGTAGACAGAAACAACCGAACGAGGGGATTTATGCGAACCCTACCTGATCTCTGTAGCCTTAGCCTTTTGTGTAATTTATTCCCTTATACTGTGACCGACCGCAGGGCCCCATCGCATGGAGCCCAATTCGGCTGTTCTCTCTAGCGCGGTCGGTCTTTTTATTACCTCCACGAATTTCCCGAACCCCTGGTCCGATCTGGGTGATTTTTGGATATGTTGCTCACCCAGATCAGGGCTACCAGGGGATGTGCCATTTAAAGGGGTACCCCTAGGTTTAGGGGTACATCCAGAAACTGGGGGAATTTGTGTACAGTATAAGGGGATTATGAGTCAGGCTGAGGGGAGGAGATGTGTGGGAGGGTACTAGTACCGGATTGGATACTGTATTAATTAATGGAAATCCCTCCCTTGCATGGGAGCGTGCTTTATAAGGCCACTGTGAAATAAAAGTTTTAGTTCTGCTCCTGATGCTGTGTGTCGTCCAGTTATTGGGATTGCTATATTGCTATATTGTTTTACCTGCTGGAAACCTTGCTTTATGGATTTATAACTACTTGTTCCTGAGCCTCACTGGGATATTAAGCGGAGATAACTTGTGGAATACTGGATCTCCGCTACAACCGTAGTCTCTGCACTTACAGCACAGAGGGTAGGGACGGTTGGTCCTGCCCCCCAGCGACAGGGCTGTTTAGCCAAAGGGGAGACAGTCGGTCTCCCCCTCCAGCAGCAGAGCAGTGTATCTAAAGGGGAGACAGTCAGCTTCCCCCTTCAGCAGCAGAACTGTGTATCTAAAGGGGAGACAGTCGGTCTCCCCCTCCAACAACCAGGCTCCAACCAGGCTACTTCCGTGGTAGCGCTGGCACCAGGGCAGAGTACCGCTGGTCTCTGCCCACTCAGCAACCCACCAAGTCAGCTTACCTGTCAACCACAGAGCCGTGGTGAGGCACCTGGACATGGACATTCTCCTCTACCCAGGTGTAGTAACCATTTATTGTGGGTGGGCTGTATTGCGGATTGTGTGCTGTGGGTGGGCTGCTGGACTAACAAGGGCACTGACCGGCAGGAGGTCAGATACCCTGTTAGTCTATTGGGAAAAGAGGAGAGATGTGACGAGATCAATCTCGCCACATTGCATTGGAGGAGCCTGGTTGCCCGCCTGCTACCTTTAGACTATGGCCCTATGTTGAAACGCTTGATTTTCCCCTGCGAAGACACGAAAGCCGGGTCATTCGGTGCGTGCCCTGTTTGAGCGGTGATACCCCAGATAGCTATGCCATGGAGACCATTCGTATAATGAAAGACTATGGGAAAGACTTTGGCTCAATGGCAATTGGACTGTATGTGTGTGGTCTGAGTGCCATTCTGTAATAATGTGCGCTCAGATCTGAGCTATATGGGGATATGTTGAATGCACTTGTTTTGTGCAATGGCTGCACAGTTATATGTTTTTATGTGTTTTATTGTCTTTTGCTGCCATGTGTTCAATGGAGCTTTGCCTCTGTCCTTGGAGATAATTGGATTACTTCCCAATTATCTCCAGGATAGAAGACTCTGTGGAACTGGTTTTGGGCAGAAAAGCCATGCTGCCTTTGGTCACAAAAGGGCTACGATCTATCTTTTGAACCAATGGACAAATGTGGATGATTTTGACATATGTTTGTATTTGGAGTATGCTGATTCTGAAAATGTGAATGTGATGCATACTTTTCAAGTTATGAATAATGTGGAAAAATTGTATTTCTCTGCTTGTGATAATTACATTACCCATTGCGTAAGGTAATTGTATCACAGGCAGAGGGGAGGATTTTGTGTGTGAGTGTCTGAGTGTATTGTATGTGTTTATTGGTTGTGTTCCAAAACCCTGTGGGTGGTTCTAATGTGTATATAAGAACAATAAACCCACAGCTCTGTCTGTTCACTGCTTGACCCTCAACACGGAGCTTTGTCTCGTTCTTGGGGGGATTTATTGTATGCTGTTTTAGTTTGACTGCTAGGAGTGTAAACCTATTCGGATGGTTTTTCCTATTCGGCTGTTTACGGCATTCATATGGTTTCCTGTTCGGCAGACTGGTGTTCTGCAGTAGCTGTGCCTGTGTGTCTGGAAGGGGAAGATCTACTAAACGGCGGTTTAACCCTTTTATGCCTGGGGGTGGCGTTACAGTTTGTACCAGACTATAGTGCTATAGCCAATCCCTTGACTGACCTTACCAAAAAGAACTTACCCAAACAGGTCCTGTGGTCTCCCGCCTGTAAAACTGCCCTTCAAACGTTAAAGAATGCCCTAGTTCATGCCCCTGTCTTGGCTGCCCCAGTCCCTAACAAAAGTTTTATCGTCCATACAGACACTTCCATGTTCAGAGTGGGGGCAGTTTTAAGCCAAGTTGGAGAGGATGGAGGAGAGCACCCTGTCACGTACATCACCCAAAAACTATTACCCTGGGAAGTGAGTTACGTGGCAGTGGAGAAAGAGTGTTTGGCTTTGGTGTGGGCTTTGAAAAAACATAGCCATTATTTATACTGGTGGGAATTTACTCTTATAACTGACCACAACCCATTGGTGTGGCTTAACCTGGTCGCAGGAGACAATGACTGACTATTGCGATGGAGCCTGACACTTCAACCTTATAATTTTACCATTCAGTTACGGCCCAGTAAACAGAATGGCAACACTGATGGGTTGTCCCGGCAAACAGAACTCAGCCAGTAACCGAAGTCTGGACATCCCCAAGTTGACCCGAAAAAGGTCAAACCGGGTCTGCCAGAGTGTCCCACAAGGAGCAATGTGACAGACCCTCTGTCCCTGGATTTTAAAGCTTATTTTTATTTCCTTTGCCTATCTGTTTGACAAAAATACAGCTAGTCCCTATACCAACATTGCCAATTCAACTAACGAAAGAACTACCGAACAACCGACAACCCAGATGCAGGGTGTTGCGCCTGCTAACCTTATTGACCCTTCTTAACACCTCCAAAACCACAAACTGCAGTCGGGTGGTCGGCGTTCTTATGTACAAACACATGGCGGCGGCCATCTTGGAGTACGAATGCGGCCAGCGGTGTTTGGTCGTTGAGTGTAAGGAACTAGAATCGGACACTCGATGGCGCAAACGCCGCTAAGACTTCCATGTCCACAGATGTTCACAGATGTTCGAAACATCTCCCCAACCACCAGGACTATGGGAACGAATGCACAAACAAAATTTTACTTATAAGTAGCATTTTGGTTCTCCCGAAAGAGACCGACCACACGGCCTGATTTCATGGAACTATTTTGGGCAGGCGCCTCGTGTGCGGTTGGTCTAAACTATACCCCGGTGGCGTTTCAGCTACATTTGTGGGATCTGAGTAATTTCGACATATGTTGGGCACTCAGATCCAGGCTATCCGTGGATATAGGACTTGAAGGGGTTAACCTTATTGTTAAATATGTATTTTGGGGTATTTTTATTATGCATTGCTTGAGAGGCAATGTAATTAATTGTGTGCTTATATAGCAGTCCTTTAATAACTAGGATCAGGGGGCAACCCCACATTCCCAATCTGTAGCGGCGGATCTGCTGCCGGTGCAACCGATGAGACCCATCGGTTGGCATATGTCTTCAGAGGTCCGGTCAGTGTTGTGGCTCTTAAATAGTGCAACCAGGCTCCTGGTTGGCTGCCAAAGGCAGTGCTGGGAGAAAGTGACAGCCGGTCACTTCTGCTGAGGGGATGGGAGAATAATGGTAATTGCAGTCCTTCGATAGCTTGAATGATGGCTGAGGGGATGGGAGGATAATGGTAATTGCAGTCCTTCGATAGCTTGAATGATGGATGAGGGGCTGGGAGGATGATGGTAATAGCAGTCCTTTGATAACTAGGAAGCTGGCTGAGCGGCAGGGAGGATGGTGGTAATTGCAGTCCTTCTATAACTAGGAAACTGGCTGAGAGGCAGGGAGGATGGTGGTAATTGCAGTCCTTCTGTAACTAGTAAGCTGGCTGAGGGGCAGGGAGGATGATGGTAATAGCAGTCCTTTGCTAGGAAGCTGGCCTGGTGGCAGGGAGGATGATGGTAATAGCAGTCCTTTGATTGCTAGGAAGCTGGCCTGGTGGCAGGGAGGATGATGGTAATAACAGTCCTTTGATAGCTAGGAAGCTGGCTGAGGGGCAGGGAGGATGATGGTAATAGCAGTCCTTTGAAAGCTAGGAAGCTGGCTGAGGGGCAGGGAGGATGATGGTAATAGCAGTCCTTTGATAGCTAGGAAGCTGGCTGATGGATTTATTATAAAAAGGGAAGATAATTCTTATAGGAAGAGATAGACGGGTAGAAAAGGCCAGCTGTGTGTGTGGTGTCGATTGCACAGACGGACAGTGTATGTCAGTGAGTTCCTGCAGCTCATCGAGACAAGGTGTCCAATGACATCGATCATGCAGAGCATCTCAGCAGGTTCCAGCATTACCATGGCAACCATGCGAACAGGATGGTCCTTTCCGAGCACGACTTTCTACTTCCACCTATGTTTGCTCGCTCTGTCTCGCTCTCTCAGATCTCATATGATCTAATCTATGGCTGCCTAAATTGCCTAATTAGAGAGCCGCCTCTGATCTAATCTACGGCTGCTTGAATCGCCTAATTAGAGAGCCGCCTCTGATCTAATCTACGGCTGCCTGAATCGCCTAATTAGAGAGCCGCCTCTGATCGAATCTACGGCTGCCTAAATCGCCTAATTAGAGAGCCGCCTCTGATCTAATCTACGGCTGCCTGAATCGCCTAATTAGAGAGCCGCCTCTGATCTAATCTATGGCTGCCTAAATCGCCTAATTAGAGAGCCGTCTCTAATCTAATCTACGGCTGCCTGAATAGCCTAATTAGAGAGCCGCCTCTGATCTAATCTATGGCTGCCTGAATCGCCTAATTAGAGAGCCGCCTCTGATCGAATCTACGGCTGCCTAAATCGCCTAATTAGAGAGCCGCCTCTGATCGAATCTACGGCTGCCTAAATCGCCTAATTAGAGAGCAGCCTCTGATCTAATCTACGGCTGCCTGAATCGCCTAATTAGAGAGCCGCCTCTGATCTAATCTATGGCTGCCTAAATCGCCTAATTAGAGAGCAGCCTCTGATCGAATCTACGGCTGCCTTAATCGCCATATTAGAGAGCCGCCTCTGATCGAATCTACGGCTGCCTAAATCGCCTAATTAGAAAGCCGCCTCTGATCTAATCTATGGCTGCCTAAATCACCACATTAGTGAGCCGCCTCTGATCGAATCTACGGCTGCCTAAATCACCATATTAGAGAGCTGCCTCTGATGTAATCTACGGCTGCCTATGGGCTGTTATAGTCGAATGGTGTTATTAGAGCGCAGAGGGAGGGGTATAAAGAACTTGGCCAAAATAAAATATAAAGAATGTGCTGGAAGAATAAAATAGATGAGTTTGGTTTTCGCAGAATGTTCGTCAGGGGAGCAAATGACACACCGGGTTTAGAGTGATATTTGCAAACTCTGGCAGACGCTCATGATATACATATAATTAGGAAATTCATTTTTAGCAGAAAATACCTGAACTCGCTGTGGGGAAAAGAGCTATTGGATTAGATAAACAATTACAGTTTGTTTCATGACAATAGTTCAATAAACTGCCAAAATGAGACTCTCAGAACAGCTCATTGTATTGTGTCGTTCCGACTTACTGTATCATAAGAGCTCGTATTATTACAACTCATGGCATTATAATAATAATAATAACTAGTATTTATATAGCGCCTTTCTCCCAGTGAGACTCAAACCATTTTTCAGCGCACACTCTTGGAATTAGCTGAATCAGCAGCTGAATAATAATTTAACAAATAATTAATATTGTTAATTGATATACTGGTAATTGATATAGTTGATAATTTTATCAACCTCGGAAGGATGTAAGTATGTATGATTACAGCTCATTGTACGATTACAGCTCATTGTATTATTACAGCTTATTTTGTTATTACAGCTCATTGTATTATTACAGCTCATTGTATCATTACAGCTCATTGTATCATTTCAGCTCATTGTTTTATTACATCTCATTCTATTACAACATATCATTACAACTCATTGTATTATTACAGTTTATTGTGTTAACACACGCAGGGCGGGTCTTAGGGGTGTGCAAGCTGTGGGTGCCATGGGAGCAGGGGGCGCCATGCGGCCGACACAACTCACACATGGCCCGGCCGGGAAAATAAAAAAATATATAACATTGCGGTGGGGTCGGAGCTTACCTGTGGCGGAACTTACAGTGCAGCAGAGGCGGAGATAAACTGACGGCTGGGGTGGAGCTAAAAGTGCTGGGTAACTGCTGCAGGGGAAGCAGGAAGGAGTTCCTGCTTCCCCAACAACCAGTCTCCATGAGTTGCACTGCTTCCACTCCTCCATAATGAACAGAGGTAACTATACACACACAGAATTACAGGTATACAGTCACACACACACACACACACACACACACACACACAGTTACAGGCAGGCAATTACAAACACACACTGGTACAGCTGCACAGTCATGTACATACAGCCACACATGCAGCTCACACACACACACCGTTACATGCAGACAGCCACACACACACACACAGGCAGACAATCACACACACACACAAACACACTCACAGAGGCAGACAGTCACACACACACACACACACACAGGCAGATAGCCACAGACACAGACAGCCACACACAAACAGGCAGACTGCCACACACACACAGACACACACACACACACACAGACAGCCACACACATACACACAGACACACACACAGATAGCCACACACACACAGGCAGACAATCACACACACACACACACATAGGCAGGCAGTCACACACAGACACAGACACACACACAGGCAGACAGCCACACACACAGAGGCATACAGCCACACAAACACATAGACTCACACAGAAGCAGACAGCCACCCCCCCTCACACACACACACACACACACAGAGGCACACACAGAGGCAGACAGACAGACACACACACACACACACACAGGCAGACAGTCACAAATAGTTACCTCTATTCATTATGGAGGTAGAAGTAGTGCAGCTCCTGGATTCTGGCTGTTGGGGAAGCAGGAACTCCTTCCTGCTTCCCATGCAGTAATTACCCGGCACTTCTAGCCCTGCTCCCACACCATTTAGCCCTGTCACGCTAAGCCCCGCCCATGCCGCAATGTTGTTGGTTTTTTTTTAATCCTGGGTGGAGAATAATGAAATCCTCCACCCGGGTAGCCGGCAATGTGTGAGCTGTGCCCCCTGCTCCATGGCGCCCTGCACAGCTCACACACCCCTAAGGCTGGTCCTGCTCTTAGATCACATAGGAAAGCTGGTTTTACTCATTTTTTCCCCCACGCCGCACTTGTCTCTACACAACTAGCCCAGCCTCCATGACAGATCATTAATCTTGCTAATCTCAGCCAATCTAATGCTTTCTCTTGGCAAAACTGCAATCAACATTTCCTCATAGAGATACATTGATTGCATCTCTATTGGGAATGTTCAGCGCCTCCATGCAGAGTGTGGAGACGTTAAACATAGGTGTTGCACACTGTGCAGCACTGAACTCGGAATCCCCTCTAGTGGCTGTCTGAGTAACTGCATCTAGAGGTGTTTCTAGACTGTAATGTAAACATTGCATTTTCTCTAAAAAGACAGTGTTTACTGCAAAAAGCCTGAAGGGAAGGATTATACTCACCAGAACAAATACAATACGCTGTATACTGTACAATAAACTGTAGTTCTTCTGGTGACTATAGTGTCCCTTTAAAAGGGCCAAAATAGCCAAACTGGAAAAATTCTCTCAGTCAGATATGCTTGCAGTTCGGCTACTTTGGCCTTAAACTTGAAATTCACTATGAATCCTAACATTTCCCACGTTAGTAAATAACCCTGCAGGAGTCCAGAGACTGGGTTGATTGTCAGAAGAGGTGTGAGAATATGTCAATGTCCACTACACAGAAGAGACCACAGGTTCATCCATGGTAGTGATTTCGCCTGTTTAGGCCTTAGAGGAGAGTCTGCCAAATGTCCTCCTCCACCTGCTCCCATCCTCTGCTCTCCATGCCATTCGGATCCATTAGCAGTCAGCTCCATCCTCTGCTCTCCATGCCATTCGGATCCGTTAGCAGTCAGCTCCATCACTGCTCTCCATGCCATTCAGATCCATTAGCAGTCAGCTCCACCCTCTGCTCTCCATGCCATTCAGATCCATTAGCAGTCAGCTCCATCCTCTGCTCTCCATGCCATTTGGATCCGTTAGCAGTCAGCTCCATCACTGCTCTCCATGCCATTCGGATCCGTTAGCAGTCAGCTCCATCCTCTGCTCTCCATGCCATTCGGATCCGTTAGCAGTCAGCTCCATCCTCTGCTCTCCATGCCATTCGGATCCATTAGCAGTCAGCTCCATCCTCTGCTCTCCATGCCATTCAGATCCATTAGCAGTCAGCTCCATCCTCTGCTCTCCATGCCATTCGGATCCATTAGCATTCAGCTCCATGACTGCTCTCCATGCCATTCAGGTCTGTTAGCAGTCAGCTCCATTACTGCTCTCCATGCCATTCGGATCCGTTAGCAGTCAGCTCCATCCTCTGCTCTCCATGCCATTCGGATCCATTAGCAGTCAGCTCCATCCTCTGCTCTCCATGCCATTCGGATCCATTAGCAGTCAGCTCCATCCTCTGCTCTCCATGCCATTCGGATCCGTTAGCAGTCAGCTCCTTCACTGCTCTCCATGCCATTCAGATCCATTAGCAGTCAGCTCCATCCTCTGCTCTCCATGCCATTTGGATCCGTTAGCAGTCAGCTCCATCACTGCTCTCCATGCCATTCGGATCCGTTAGCAGTCAGCTCCATCACTGCTCTCCATGCCATTCGGATCTGTTAGCAGTCAGCTCCATCCTCTGCTCTCCATGCCATTCAGATCCGTTAGCAGTCAGCTCCATCCTCTGCTCTCCATGCCATTTGGATCCGTTAGCAGTCAGCTCCATCCTCTGCTCTCCATGCCATTCGGATCCGTTAGCAGTCAGCTCCATCACTGCTCTCCATGCCATTCGGATCCGTTAGCAGTCAGCTCCATCCTCTGCTCTCCGGCGCCATTCCGGATCCGGTAGCGATGTCATCCTCTGCTCTCCATGCCGGTATTCGGATCCGTTATGCAGTCAGCTCCATCCTCTGCTCTCCATGCCATTCAGATCCATTAGCAGTCAGCTCCATCCTCTGCTCTCCATGCCATTCGGATCCATTAGCAGTCAGCTCCATGACTGCTCTCCATGCCATTCGGATCTGTTAGCAGTCAGCTCCATCACTGCTCTCCATGCCATTCGGATCCGTTAGCAGTCAGCTCCATCCTCTGCTCTCCATGCCATTCGGATCCATTAGCAGTCAGCTCCATCCTCTGCTCTCCATGCCATTCGGATCCATTAGCAGTCAGCTCCATCACTGCTCTCCATGCCATTCAGATCCATTAGCAGTCAGCTCCATCCTATGCTCTCCATGCCATTCGGATCCGTTATCAGTCAGCTCCATCCTCTGCTCTCCATGCCATTCGGATCCATTAGCAGTCAGCTCCATCCTCTGCTCTCCATGCCATTCGGATCCGTTAGCAGTCAGCTCCATCCTCTGCTCCCCATGCCATTCGGATCCGTTAGCAGTCAGCTCATGCTGCTCTCCATGCCATTCAGATCCACCGTGCTTGATCAGCTCCACCCTCTGCTCTCTGGCTCCATCCTCTGCTCTCCATGCCATTCGGATCCATTAGCAGTCAGCTCCATCCTCTGCTCTCCATGCCATTCGGATCCGTTAGCAGTCAGCTCCATCCTCTGCTCTCCATGCCATTCGGATCCGTTAGCAGTCAGCTCCATCCTCTGCTCTCCATGCCATTCGGATCCATTAGCAGTCAGCTCCACCCTCTGCTCTCCATGCCATTCGGATCCCTTAGCAGTCAGCTCCATCACTGCTCTCCATGCCATTCGGATCCATTAGCAGTCAGCTCCATCCTCTGCTCTCCATGCCATTCGGATCCATTAGCAGTCAGCTCCATCCTCTGCTCTCCATGCCATTCGGATCCATTAGCAGTCAGCTCCATCACTGCTCTCCATGCCATTCAGATCCATTAGCAGTCAGCTCCATCCTCTGCTCTCCATGCCATTCGGATCCGTTATCAGTCAGCTCCATCCTCTGCTCTCCATGCCATTCGGATCCATTAGCAGTCAGCTCCATCCTCTGCTCTCCATGCCATTCGGATCCGTTAGCAGTCAGCTCCATCCTCTGCTCTCCATGCCATTCGGATCCGTTAGCAGTCAGCTCCATCACTGCTCTCCATGCCATTCAGATCCATTAGCAGTCAGCTCCACCCTCTGCTCTCCATGCCATTCGGATCCGTTATCAGTCAGCTCCATCCTCTGCTCTCCATGCCATTCGGATCCGTTAGCAGTCAGCTCCATGACTGCTCTCCATGCCATTCGGATCCGTTATCAGTCAGCTCCATCCTCTGCTCTCCATGCCATTCAGATCCGTTAGCAGTCAGCTCCATCCTCTGCTCTCCATGCCATTCGGATCCGTTAGCAGTCAGCTCCATCCTCTGCTCTCAATGCCATTCGGATCTGTTAGCAGTCAGCTCCATCCTCTGCTCTCCATGCCATTCGGATCCGTTATCAGTCAGCTCCATCCTCTGCTCTCCATTCCATTCGGATCCATTAGCAGTCAGCTCCATCACTGCTCTCCATGCCATTCAGATCCATTAGCAGTCAGCTCCATCCTCTGCTCTCCATGCCATTCGGATCCGTTAGCAGTCAGCTCCATCACTGCTCTCCATGCCATTCGGATCTGTTAGCAGTCAGCTCCATCCTCTGCTCTCCATGCCATTCAGATCCGTTAGCAGTCAGCTCCATCCTCTGCTCTCCATGCCATTTGGATCCGTTAGCAGTCAGCTCCATCCTCTGCTCTCCATTTCGGATCCGTTAGCAGTCAGCTCCATCACTGCTCTCCATGCCATTCGGATCCGTTAGCAGTCAGCTCCATCCTCTGCTCTCCATGCCATTCGGATCCGTTAGCAGTCAGCTCCATCCTCTGCTCTCCATGCCATTCAGATCCGTTAGCAGTCAGCTCCATGACTGCTCTCCATGCCATTCGGATCCGTTAGCAGTCAGCTCCATCCTCTGCTCTCCATGCCATTCGGATCCGTTAGCAGTCAGCTCCATGACTGCTCTCCATGCCATTCGGATCCGTTAGCAGTCAGCTCCATCCTCTGCTCTCCATGCCATTCGGGTTCAGGGACAGAGCTGCGGAATTTTATCTCAAGGCCATTCCGTAGCTGTATATGAATGCTGTATACCCTTTAAATGTTTATTATTGTCTGTAAAGTCCATGGGACCAGCTACAGCAATGATT